AGGCTTTAGCCACCGCGCCCGGCCCTACATCAAATTCTTAAGTGACAAACTGCTTACTCCTAAATTTAGAAATTTACAATCCCAGTTTGTTTTTTAACTTGTACGTTGTAGTTTTTTGAAACGGAGTTTCACTCTTACTGCCCAAGTTGCAGTGCAGTGGCTCAGTCTTGGCTCCTTACAATCTCCACCTGCTGGCTTCAAGTGATTCTCCTGTCTCAGGTTCCTGGGTAGCTGGGATTACAGGCACCCACCACCACGCCCGGTTAATTTTTTTTTTTTTTATTTTTAGAAATGGGATTTCACCATGTTAGCGAGGCTGGTCTCAAACTCCTGACCTCAGGTGATCTGCCCACCTCAGCCTCCCAAAGTGTTTGAAGTACAGGCATGAGCCACCTCACTCAGCCTGTACTTCCTAATTCTAACCGTACATAAAATATTGTGTGATCATAAGATCACATTGCTAATCTACTTCTGATTTTAAGGAAGAACTTGACCTTCTAATACACGTTATCAAATTACAGTTGGTTCTCCCTTGTTTATAGCTGTGTTCTATTAATAAAAGGCTGCCACAAGTATGAAACCATTTCACGTAGGGGAAATACAGGATTGGGTTCCTACAAACCTCTGATCACAACATTTTCATCAACTGAAAAATACGTGGCCTTGTTACATGTGTGTTTCTGTTATACATGCCTTAATGTTTGTTAAATTCACGTTGAACTCGCTACCAATAGTGCACTGTAATTGGTGCCTGAACAAAGCTCTCCATTACATGTTCTTTGGCACATCACAGCCTTGGATTTAGCAACATTAGATAGCACTTGGACAAGACGCTTGGGGGCCATTTTAAACAGCAAAATCATCAGTAAAAAGCACAAAGATGCAAAATAGTGGCACTAAGAAGACCAGAAAAAAAGACAGTTGGTTAGGACATTAGAGCTGAAAACAAGACAGTGACCTCAGCCTGGAATGTACGTGTGGTGCGACTCACATTTTTTGCTTCTCTGATGTGCACATGACCGTCAAGTGCTAGAAGTATTGATTTGGGGTTGGGAGGGTGGTTACAAAAGTTGTTTTAAACAAGAGTAGGTGACTTGACAAATAACAAAAGATTATTGACTTTTTAAAAGATCTGGCTGGGTGCGGTGGCTCAAGCCTGTAATCCCGGCACTTTGGGAGGCCGAGGCGGGTGGATCACGAGGTCAAGAGATCGAGACCATCTTGGTCAACATGGTGAAACCCCGTCTCTACTAAAAATACAAAAAAATTAGCTGGGCATGGTGGCACGTGCCTGTAATCCCAGCTATGTAGGAGGCGGAGGTTGCAATGAGCCGAGATTGCGCCATTGCACTCCAGCCTGGGTAATGAGCGAAACTCCGTCTCAAAAAACATCTGATAGTTGCATATAAATAAAATGACAACGTATTCCTAAAGATCTGAATTTCCTTTGTTTTGCAGAGTCCAGCCTCTGATGAAGCAGGAGAGAAAGAAGCCAAGTCTGATTAATACCATATATCATGTCTTATCAGTGGTCCCTGTCTCCCTTCTTGTACAATCCAGAGGAATATTTTTATCAACTATTTTGTAAATGCAAGTTTTTTAGTAGCTCTAGAAACATTTTTAAGAAGGAGGGAATCCCACCTCATCCCATTTTTTAAGTGTAAATGCTTTTTTTTAAGAGGTGAAATCATTTTCTGGTTGTTTATTTTTTGGTACAACCAGAAAATAGTGTGGGATACTGAATTATGGGAGGCTTTGACTGTCTTGGGTGTCAGCTTAACATTCCATAGATGGGGGGTTAGTTTTTATATCCTGTAATACAAAGCATATTAAATGGCAATATGGAGTCAGTCTTGCATTTAATGTCTTGAACATTTTAAATTACTTCTATTCCCATGTTTTTTAGTAGAATTGTTTCCTAAAGAAAACCACTCTGATCGTGGCTCTCCCTGTCAGAATTGTGTGCACTCTGTAACATCTTTGGTGTGATAGTCCTGTTTTCCTAATAACTTTGTTACTGTGCTGTGAACAATTAAAAATTTGAATATGTAGTGTACATGCTATTCAGTTGTGAATTGTTGGGACATATGTAACAGCTTATCAACATGTGAAGATACAGGTACTTGATAGCCTCTTACGGAAAATTTGCATCTAAATTTTAAGCTGGAAAGTCACTGGAATAACTTTAAAAAGGAATTATACATGGCTTTTTAGATTTTTGTTACGTATGTTAAGAATTGTGTACAAATTGAAATGTCTGTACTGGTCTTCAATAAAATCTCAATTATGAAACAATATTTTAAAGCATGTGGATTAAGTTCTGGTTTAAATTTTATTTACAGAATTTTCACATTTGAGCCTGGCCGACATGGTGAAACCCTTACTCTACTAAAAATAAAAGAATTCGCCGGTCATGGTGGCTTGCACCTGTAGTCCCAGCTACTCGGGAGGCTGAGGCAGGAGAATCACTTGAACCTGGGAGGTGGAGGTTGTAGCGTGCCCAGATGACACCACTGCAAGCAGTGAGACCCTGTCTCAAAAAAAAAGTTCCACATTTGGTCTTCCAAAGTTCTTTAAAGAGTAAAATGTTTAGTTTTTGTTTGATGCAGTCATGAATCACTGGATACTGTCTTAAGAAACATTGTTTTATTGTGTGAACAACAGTGTGTCTTAACACAAACTTCATAGGCATGGCCCATTACATACTTAGGCTGTATGGTTGAACCTATTGCTCCTAGGCAACAGACTTAACACAGCATGTTACCGTGTGAATACTATAGGGAGTTGTAATACAATGGTAAGTATTTGTCTATGTAAACTTAGATCTGAGTATAGTAAAAGTACAGTGTTATGGGTCCATTATGTGGTTCATTGTCTGATACGTGGGACATAACTACTTGAGATAACTGCTATGTCCTTTGAAGTGCTTGACTATATTGGTTTAATGGAAGAACAATGCAGTGTCTTTTGAATTAAAGCAAATACATAATTACTAGCTCTTCGTATGTTAAAGAAAAGCACAGAGTAGGCCAGGCATGGTGGCCCACACCTGTAATCCCAGCACTTTGGGAGGCCAAGGCAGGTAGATCACCTGAGGTCAGGAATTGGAGACTAGCCCGGCCAACATGGTGAAACCGGGTCTTTACTAAGAACATAAAAATAAGGTGGGCTTGGTAGCTGGCGCCTGTAATCCCAGCTGCTCAGGAGGCTGAGGCAGGAGAATTACTTGAACCTAGGAGGTGAAGGTTGCAGCAAGCCAAGGTCACACCGTTGCTCTCCAGTCTGGGTGACAAGAGTGAAAATCTCAAAAAAAAATACAGAGTAAGCTATGACTAAATCTAGTGTGGTATGTATTTTCCTGATTTGCTTTCACATACATTGTATTCTCATTTTGCCCTTTAAGTAGTCTTTAGAGGTGATGTAGGGCAACTGTTGATTTGGCAAAAGTGGAAATGGCCAGAGATGGACCTCGCTGAGGTTATCACTAAAGGGTCCTTGGAACAATTCAAACCTCTGTACATTTGGTGTGTTTTGCCTGTGGGGTGATTAGTAGGCAAGAATCCTTTAAAAACAAGCCCTATGGGGTCATAGATCTCTGCACAGACTGCCTGAGCAGGAGTTGATAGGGAATAGTGAGGATATAGTAAAAGCAAATGCAACGACAATGACATGGGATAACCTGACAGCAAAGAAGTTCTGATAACCCGTGGGGGGTGGGAAGGGACTAGGGCCAGCTGAGTGCCGTGGTCATTACACTATGGAGGCCTGAAACAGTGATGAACAGATTTGTCTTTAATTTCCAAGTATAGGAGAATAGGTAAGTTTTTGATAAGAATTTTAACCATAGAACCCATCTGCCAGTGTTTGGTTAATTAAACTCCCCAACCTTCCCACCCCTTAGAGTGGTGATAGATGTTTTCAAATCACAGATTTTCTCAATCATTCTATACTAATTGTAATGACTATTTAAAGAAATCACTAGTTTTTCTTACAAAATAAAACAGGGAAAGGGTTTTGGTTTATAGATTGATACCAAAAAAAAAAATTGTAGAAAGCATAACAGAAGTACTTTAATTTCCTACCTGGAACTACTCTGTTAGGCTTTTCTACAGCTTTTTTTGGGGAAAGGCTTGCCTTGTTTTATCTGACCAGTTACTCGGGTGTTTGCTAGCCCTAAGGCTGCCCATTTTCCTTATTTTTTTTTTTTATCCTACCCACAGGAAGGAACACATTTTTGTGATAAACTGACTTCAACTGTCAAAGGAAAAAGTTTTTTAAAGCCACCATGGGGACTGGATGTGGCAGTCACACCAGTGCTTTGGGAGGCCAAGGTAGGAGGATTGCTTGAGTCTGAGTTCCAAATCAGCCTGGCCAGCAGCGAGACCCCATCTTTACAGAAATTTTTAAAAATTAGCTGAGCATGTGATGCATGTCTGTGGTCCCAGCTACTCAGGAGGCTGAGGCAGGAGGATCACAAGCCCAAGATTTCGAGGCTGCGGTGAGCTAAGATTGTGTCATTGCACTCTAGCCTGGGGGACGAAGATCTTGTCTCAAAAGCCACTTTGAGGTATGTTTTCTGGGATCAGTACAGAAAGTTAATCTCTTGCCCTTCAAACAGTTGACAGTACTTTTGAGTGATGAGAGTGGTTGACTGGATGTACCAATATCAGGCATTTAAAAGTATAAGGAGTGATCGCTTCGGCAGCACATATACTAAAATTGGAACGATACAGAGATTAGCGTGGCCCCTGTGCAAATTGTTTTTTTTTAATAAAAATTTAATAATAAAAAAAAGTATAAGGAAGAGAACTTCTTATCAGACAGCAATTGGTTGATTAGAAAAACTAGTGAACAAGAACCCTGCATTCTCTTGGCTTCTCAGAGATTGAGCTTGTTGTGCGTCAGATGTGGGTTAATCAGGATTTAAGGCACAGATCTTGGTACTTAGCTTGGATTCATGGTAATCATGGAGGCCCCAGGGGGAGGTTCTGTTCTGTTGTAGCAGTTTGGGAAATGTGTGTAAAAGTCTTGTGGGGGTAGGGATGAGGTCAGGAGGATGGACAGATGCAGGGGTGAGAAATATGTGTGTGATCATAGTGGAGCAATTAATACTTATTAAAAAAACCTTAGGAACTGCAGACAAGCTAACAACACCCGTAATTCGCTTACTTAGACAACTATTTAAGTAGCTATTTAAAGATGCATTTTTCTCAGATCCTATCCTATGCTTATATGATTATACAAAGTGGTGGTGTACATCCTATTTTGTAGTCTTGAGCATACTGTGACCTTTCTCCTATATCAATGAGTTTACCTACACAGCATTTGTAAGCACTGTGTAGTTTATTTCAAGAATATATAATTTGTCAGACATTTAGACTTTTTTGCAGTAAAACAAGCATTGGCAAACTAAAAACTAATCTCTACTAACCCACACAGATAGACCTAAAGATGTATCTGCTTATCACAATCCCCATTTGCTCTATGAGTTTGCAATAGAAATACTTGGTTAAAACACCAAGTAATTTTGAGAATTAGAATTGAGAATTTCTAAGCAATTAGGCTTAAGTAGATCATGGGAAGTAGCTCATCAATTGGTAACAATTGCTTTTATTTCAAGATTATGAAAGTTAGATTACATCTTTTGAAACTTCCAAAAATATAAAGTAAGAAACCATTTAGGGTCCCTGCGAGGTGGCTCACCACTCTAATCCTAGCATTTTGGGAGGCCAAGGCGGGCAGATCACTTGAGCTTGAGGTCAGGAATTTCACAAGGTGAAACCTCATCTCTACTAAAATAGAAAAATCAGCTGATGGTGGGTGCTTGTAGTCCCAGCTCCTCGGGAGGCTGAGGCAGGAGAATCACTTGAATCAGTGAGCTGAGATCTACCACTGCACTCCAGCCTGAGTGACAGAGCAAGACTCTGCCTCAAAAAACAAACAAAACCGTTTAATCCCAGAAGCTGCAAGTAATTATTTTAGACATGGTGAATTTTCTTCATATGTTTGCGTTTTTCCTTAACTGTAAAATGTTTTGATACTTGCTTAATATTTCATCGTGCGGTAAAAACCATAATTTGGCCATTACAGTTTTTTTTTTTTAGAGACGGGGTTTCACCATGTTGGTCAGGCTGGTCTTGAACTCCCGACCTCAGGTGATCCGCCCGCCTTGGCCTCCAAAGTGCTTGGATTACAGGCGTGAGCCACCACGCCCGGCTGACGGCCATTACAGTTTTTTATAATTCCTCTATTAGGAATAATTACTGCTCATGCCCATAGTACACAAAAGCCCCTGTAACCAGGCAAGCAGTCTCAGTAACCATCAGCGTTTTGGGAAGCAAATAAGAATGAATATTATTTAAATAATCTCTACAAATATGAAACTGAAAGGGAACAAAATGCATAAGAACAAATATTTAGGAGTAAAAGCTCATTTACCTTTGGAGTATTGTACATTTTCTCAGAATTGGATACAAATCCAATTTTAAAAGAAACTGCTATTAAAATTTGTGCAAAGAAACTGTCTAAAATTCAGTAA